TTGCTAGATTGCTACACTAGTGTTGCCAAATCTCAAAATATAAAAGGCAACCCTCGTATGAGCGAAAATCGAGAAAAAAAGCGAACAGCAGAACTGTGCAGCGCTTAAAGGTACACTTCACGGTAACTTTGAGATATCCGTTTTATTCGAAAAGCGGAAGTATAAATTGGGAGTAGTTCATCAGTAAAGAAGAAAGCGAGAGAATTCGCCGATTTCGAGAAAAACGTGGTTCCTCAAAAGTAGGAAAAATAGAGGATGAACGAGATTGCCATGACAGGAATAACATGGAAGGGTTATTAGGACGAGATTTCAGTTATTGCACTTGCACAAAGAACTGACTACACCAAACCAGAATTAAACAGAACCGTCTTTCACTGTCTCTATGGGTCATGAAAAGTTGATGAAACATACCACAAGGGTTCCCTTGTGATCGGTGCAGCTTCTACAATGTCGGTGAAACTCGTACGAGGATACACAAGGGCCAATCTTTGAGCCAATATGTTTCCTTAACTACGCCGCCTTAATCTCAGAAACCAATTTTATCGTGAACTGTGTCTTCAATCTAAGCCATAGCTAGATGGTGAAGCAGGGGTCCAACAAGCCGAAGACGCAGAAAGGGAGAAGCGGTCTGCTTTTTTAATCCTTTGTAAAGATTTTTGTACTCCTCTAACTCATATAAATAAACGAAACAATAATATAATCGTGACTCATATAATTATAATATGTAAATAAACATATTTACAAATGCCATCAATGTATTTACGCAAGAAATGCAATACTACATAAATTTATCAAAATAAATCTTAATAAGCTTACTTCCTCTTGACGTTGGATTTATTGATTGGCTTCATGTCACCTCCACACGGATAGTGCTTGTAGTAACGTATGGCATCGATTTCACAACATACATTCGGATCTGGTCCGCATGAACTTGGAATATCGTAATGGGAATACGGTAGTAAATGCGTCCACACATCACCTTCATCAGAGTTATCTGAATCGTGAAATCGATAACATGGGGCGTAGGGTAGATCTTCATCAGAGACCATCGACCCTATCGACCTTGATAGCCTCGAATGAGCCATACACTTGACAATATGGAAGATTCGTAGACGTGATTGAATGTCGGAAATAGAGTGAAATGTATTTTCAAAGGAAATTTTCAGATCACATCATTGTGTTTACTCTCTGATAAAAGTTGATATAAAGCTAACAACGGTGGGTGAAAAAAATAGGAAAACCTAGAGAAGAAAAGGATCAGCAACCCTCTGCAAGCACGGCAATCTCCTTATCCACTGTAACAGGTGCACATCAAAAGCTAAACTCACCAAAATACTGTTTCCATATGAATCGATGAGCTTGTAGATCCCTCAAGAATTCCTTTGTGTCCGTTGAGATTCTGTTGATCACTTCTCGGTGAATTCCTTAATGATTAGAAGAACGATTTGGCAGAGTATACTAGACCGCTTTGAGAAAAACATAGTATTAAGTAGGAAAATATTAGTTAAGAAGTTCAAATCGATTGCATCACTTGATGCGTGGGCGCTCACACAGATGTCCTGCAATTCTAATTTGAAGTAGAGACTATGGCGCATCCCCTTCGGTCCACGCTATTCTTTTCGAAATAAAATCGAATGGTGGCTAACAGGAATATAGCCCCACTACGTATGAAAGGATTTCACACATTTTCTAGGACAAATCATATTCCTTCAGTATGACTTGGATAAATTGTTGGTCTAAAGTCTACTGGAAATTCTTAGAAATCAGACATACATATTGATATGAATGGCTACTTTTTATTTACTGGGTGGACTAAATAAAAAAATCGACAATCGATGCTAAATTGATACAAATCACCTGCTTGTGAGTAGAGATATGCGATTGAGTTACTATGACCAAATGGATCCAAGGAAAACAATATCGACGGCTTCACTCCTTCAAAAGAAAAAATTATTTTTCCTAATCGAAAACCTGCTTGAGCTATCAAAATCTACATCTTCAAGGAGAATGTACCAAATTCTCTGTAAATGAACTGGAATCCTTCAACAATGTTGTCAACGGAGACTGGGAAATATGGATTCGCCTCATCTGTCATAACCCATGAACCAGTCACCAAATCGAATCGTTTCTGCTTTACCCATCTACAATTATTTTCCAATATTTGTTTGGAATAAAGTAGTCAAGGTATTGACTGAAAAATAAAGACGCAGAGCATGCTCATCGATAGTTCAAGTACTCACAGTGCCTGCCCAGGTTCGTTTTTCCTTTTAATGTGGGAATTCTTCTATACATGGAGGGAATTTTTTTACATATATTTTTTTTCAATTTTTTTTATATCAGTGGGTACTTGGGAGGAAATGAAATCGCCCAGTTGGGTTCCTAAGCTATCCACGTAAGGAAAACGGAAAAGGTGCTGCTTTTGAACTACAGAAGCAAATGTAAGCTTCCAATCAAATAGTCGACGCCATGAACGCGTCATGTGTCACAATTTCACAGAACGTCTGGATAGTGTCAATAATTCCCAGTGACATACTATAGGTAGGATTTCTTATCAGATTCATATGACTATTAAAGCTATCGTTAATACTCTGAGAGGTATAGCTCCATTGCCCAACGTTATGAGCTCACTCTATTACCACTACTATGCCCCTTCATCTTCAACCATTGCCCATTATATGGCCAACGCATAGAAAGCTTGAAGCTCTTGAAACACTCACTTCTTTATGTTGTTGCGAACGGTATCGTTCTGTTTACGCCACCAGTGCTCTAGAAAAATGGTCTCCGCCCACATGAATGTCATATCCGGGTGTGTAAGAAAGAAGTCATACATGGCATCCAATGTATCGTCTGTATCCTTGGAATACGAGTCGAATGTCTTCAGCCAACCTGAACGAACGCCATCAGCTGTTACGGTAGTCATGACTTTCTCAGGCTACTGGGATTTAACAGAATCCCTCTAGCAGTTAGTCAGTTCTATCTGGGACCCAAATAAATTGCAAGCCACATAAAACCGCATTGCAATGCACTGACGAACCCATAGCAGAACTATCACGAAGGTGCTGCCCATGATGGACTACTATTAGTCCAGTGGGTTTATTGTTAGATTAAAGTCATCGAAGAGAGACTTGAAGTGGACACCCTACGCTCTTGTACTCAGGAGCTCCAAACCAACCCTGTATACATATATTACGAATTTTTCTTCAAAACTTGCTTTGTGAAACAACGCTACTCGAATCCAACATTGCTTATTGATCGGTACACGGTATCACGGTCCAAGATATTCCTCAATGGTAGCCGAGCAAGGATTACGGTAGCTGCCGCCAGAACAACATAAAAATCTATGGTTGTGGTTAGGTAGGTAGTTTTGCCATACATTTAACCTGACAATCTACATGTGCGGTCACATTACTTTTTTTCTTATTTATTTTTATTTATTGACTACTTCCTTAATGTCCAACTCCAATGAATTACTGAATCTGAGTTCAAACCGAGATTTCCTAACCTAGAAATTTTTAAGAATCAAAATAAATTTAATTAATAGGATTTTTAGGGAAAAATTCCAAAAACTATACCTGGATCAGTATGTGTGAATGGTACTACGATTACTTTGATTTTCTCGTGATCGCTGGGTATTATCGGTGAAATCGAGTGTTTCTTAGTCATCGAATAGTCGAACATCTAAATTTAGGAATTTTATATTGAACCAGCTATTATCGAATATTATGTAGACACGCACGTCAGAGACGCGGGCGGCCGCGTTGCAACCTTACTACATGATCATCCACGTAGCGGGATACAGGCGATAGAAATCATATGTTGATATCAGAATTATCGGGTTGAATATTATTTTTGAAGCAAAGTGGACTTTGTAGAGGTTCAAAAAAGCTAGAAAATCAAAAGAGAACCGCTACGCGATCGCTCGCAACTTTGGTCTCTGACGTACAACTCATTCAAATTCATATTAACAAAAGCATTGTATGATACTGCAACTTACATCAATTTCGAATGTGGGCTCCCTCTTGACGATCGCTTTTTGTCGCACCTGAAAAAGGGGCCTTATTGTACCATCGAATAAGTACTAATGACCCTGATAGTCAGCAATGGCTTAACGTTGTTTAGTAGCGAAACTGAGTCAAAATGAATAGCAAAAAGCTCAGGTCCAGGGCAACATAAGAATTGATCTTAAAATTTTTTACGCATGCATTTTGAAATGAAAAAGTGGCCGTAGAGTGCTCCAGTTGGTTGAACCCCCTCTCTTCGAAATAATTGTGTGGTTCGATTTAGGGAATCTTCAAATTAACTTGTATTACGAACCCGCTCCTTTTTTCAATACGACTCCCTCCCTTCCAAATAAATGAGTAAGCCATTGGACAATCTCCACCTTGGTCGGAATGAAATTTTGATCGTTGCTCTTCCTGTCCCTCGATGATGACACTATGAATCAGTCGGCAAACAGTGTTGATTCCTGGAGCCAACAGCAAAAAGCAATCCAAAAAGTTCCCTACTCGGCTAGTACTTGCAAAGGCCTCTTCAGGAAAAATGTTATCTTTCAAAGCTGTTCATGGAGGTAACAACCTAAGTAGACGTCAAACTTAAAATATTACATTTTCCTATCATTCCAAGAAAACTCACCCATCTTTTGGAGGAATCCGCTTTGAAGAATAGAACTAGAAAGGCAATCAGAGTGCACATAAAGGTGATCCGAAGTAATCGACGAAGCCGTGGGGGACGTATCCCGGTTAGTTTGTGAAGTCGATCCATCGTAATGTGGACTTTGCCGTCGTCGGCAGCCTTCTAAGGCCTTCTGAATCGTCAACGATGGTCAGCTCGTCAATTTGAACGAATCGAAACGTAAATGACCTTCTCCGCGTCTACAAAATTCTATAATGAGGTGCAATGACACGTCACATCCACTCGTATCTTCGTGGAAAGGCATGCCATCACTGGACGGAATCAATCGAAAACCTTATCAGCTTATCAGTAACACTTGTCTTCGATGATTTGCCGGTAATCGATGATTTTATCAGTTGATAAGCAAGTTTTCATGGAACTCGATTTACTAATCACTGGGCACAGTGGAAAATCCTTTTGCAGTAAGAAAGAAAAACAAAAACGGTAGGATTTCAATGTTGGCAATTTTCAAGAGAGGGTTGACTTCCAGAAGAAGAAAGACGAATTTCAGACCGTAAGAAGGAGTTTACAGCAAACGAATACAGCCATTCTGCCAGCTGATGCAAGTGATTATTTCCGGACTCTACTGGCAAGAGATTGTTGCTATGTCATTACTTGCACTAACATAACGACTTTCCCACGTTGTATGGGGAGTCTGGGGTTTTTTCGCCACAAGGTGATGAAAACATAGAAATTTGCAAGAATATGTGATACATTGAGCTGGAAGCTTCTCAATGACCTACGCATATTCACCTAACTAGGCAATTATTTACCTTCCATGAGCTTCTACTATTTATCAGAGGATTTTGCTCGTAAAGTTCTGGAGATAACTGGTCTCTAAGGGCTGCGCCCGGCATTCGGCTTTCTTTCAGAATCGTTGCTGCGTCTTTAAATGCGCATGTGGCCTATACAGTAGCCTAAGATGGTCAACCGGTGTACAAGTCAGTGTTTTTATTCTCCCAAACGCGTCTGATACCGACCAAGCGAATCCGGAGGGATAGAGCGCTCAGCTAGCCCAGGCGTACATCAACCCGGTATTCGAACCCCAGACCATGCGCGTATGATAGCGTGCCATTTGCCCAACACAACCTCCGCCCTTTTTCTTTGAAGGCTCTCTAGGAAACCGTGAAATAATATGAAATAAAAAAATGAAGCATTGAATAATAAAATAATAAGAATATTATATGAAAAATCACTTCAAAAGCTCTTGCGTCAACAATATTTGTGTAAACCCATAAGAGGTTGAGTTCCCATTGTATTAGAGTATAATAAAGAATGGATTCAAACTTATCGACGGATCAGAACAAGGGTCACGAGGTAGGCGTAGTACAGAAAAGCAGAGCAGTGCCATTCGAAAATCCGGTTTTCAGGAAGAAAGATTTAAAACTAAAGTGTGAGACAAGTCCGTTTAGCTGTTGGTCACCAACACTTGGGGACTGAATGAGCGCTGATTGGAATAGTCGTTCGAGCATCTATTCATATGGGAGAGATAATGAGTCACTTAGGTAAAAAGGGCTACCCGGAAGTTTTAAACGTTACATTCCACCTATCCAACCTATCTACTTAGGGACCCTTTCCGGGAAAGTACACATTTCCTAACAGGCTACTTCCTAATAGCCTCAAGTGACTGCCATTAAGTAAAGTGTGAAAGTGGAAGGGGCACTGGCCGGCTGGATGTTTACATGATTCAGTTTATCACTTCTTTTAGTTGCTATTCAATAAACCAGTTCTACAACGGTCATATACTATCCCTTCGCAAAAAAGTGACCAATTTTCACCAAATTCTACCTAAATTTCACTAAGAGCGCATATCCTAGGTAAAATGCCAAGAAATAGACAGAAACTACTAATCAAAGAACCAGAAATAAAAGAAATGTGCAGATGAAGGGAATTATGGACATTCGTGATGGTTCACAAGCAAAATATAAGTGCATTTAAATCTTTTCGATGCTAATAATCATAAATATGTTCATTCGCTGAGTGAAACGTGGTGTCGAACTTTTTTTTTCAAAAGCGAAATTTCATTTTTTTCCAATTTCATTTCA